ATGATTTAGGGCCCAAAACAACCAGGAAATGACATGGACGTTTATCTAAATCCACTGATTGATGATTTAAGAGCATTGTGGGAGGAAGGGGTGTATGTTTTTTATGCGTATTATGGTGAACATTTCAATATGTGTGCCATGTTATTTTGCACCATCAACAATTTTCCGGCATATGGTAATTTGTCTGGGTATAAAGTTAAAGGGCATAAAGCGTGTCCTATATGTGAAAAAGACACATGTTACCATCAACTTGAAAAAGGAAAGAAGAATGTTTATCTCGGGTATTGAAAATTTCTAAATCGTTATCATCCATATCATAGATTGCAAAAAGCTTTCAATGGGAAACAAGAGCACGATGTTGCTCCAAAACCCTGAACTGGAGAGGAAGTTTATCAATGACAATAGGGAATTAATGTTGTCTTTGGAAAGTACCAAAAGCAATCTACTGTGAAAAATATATGGAAAAAGAGGTCGGTTTTCTTCGATCTTCCATATTGGTATAATCTTGATATAAGACATTGTATTGATGTGATGTACGTAGAGAAAAATGTATGTGATAGTTTAATCGGAACACTTACCAGCATTCAAGGCAAGAAAAAAGATGGTTATAATGCTCGTCTAGATTTGGGTTTGATGGGTATACGAGAAGAGTTAACTCCACAACATATAAGTAACAAGATATATTTGCCTCCTGCCTGCTACACTTTGTCTAAAAAAGAGAAAATAAGTTTTCGCGAGTGTTTACAAAGTATTAAAACGCCACATGGTTACTCATTAAATATCAAGAGGATTTTATCAATTAAAGATCTTAAATTAATCGGCTTAAAATCTCATGACTGTCATGTCTTAATGCAACAACTACTACTAGTGGCTATTCATGGGATATTGCCTAACAATGTTAGGAAGACTATAACTAGGTTATGCTTATTTTTTAATGCAATTTTTTTCTAAAGCCATTGATCCATTAAAGTTAGACAATTTAGAAAATGAGGCTGCAGTTATCTTGTGCCAATTAGAGATGTATTTTCCTCCTTTATTTTTTAACATTATGGTTCACTTGATTGTTCATTTTGTAAGGGAGATTAGATTATATGGTCCAATTTATTTACGGTGGATATATCCAACAGAGCGATACATGAAGATCCTAAAAGGGTATACAAAAAACCATACCGTCCGAAAGCATCGATTATTGAGAGGTACATTGTAGAAGAAGCAATTGAGTTTTGTTCAAACTATTTGTCAGAAGTGGATGCTGTAGGGGTTCCCAAGTCTCATCATGATGGAAGATGTGAGGGTGTGGGTACACAAGGTTTAAAGGTCAAAAGCTTAAGTATTGAGGTGGTTTTTCAAGCGCATTTGTATATATTGAATAACATGGATGAAGTTCAACCTTACTTATCTGCTCACAAAAGCATCATAAAGAAAAAGTACCCCAAGATGAATGAAAGAGGGTTGTTAAAAGAGCATAATAAGAGTTTCTATGAGTGGTTTAAAGAAAAAATTGCTAATGACAATTAAGTGGTTGTCCTATGAGCCTAAATGTAAAATAATAACTTGGAGTGGATATGATATTGATAAAACTTCCTTTTATAAAAAGTCAAAGGATGACCGTAGTACCATGCAAAATAGTGGGGTTATGATTGTGGTCGTGTCCATGCACTTCTCTAGTTCTAAAGATAAAAACCTGATTATGGCATCTATACCCTACTTTAGGGTGATTGAAGAGATTTGGAAAGTTGATTATGTTGTTTTTAGAGTTCCTGTATTTAAATGAAAATGGATTGATATCAACAATGGTGTAAGAATTGCTGAATTTTGATTTACACTAGTTGATCTTATCAAGTTAGCTTATGCGGATGAACCTTTCATCATGGCATCTCAAGCAAAACAAGTGTTTTATGTCACAGATCCTTCTAATAAAAGATGGTCAGTGGTTATACAAGGAAAGGTGCATGGTAGTGATGAAAATCAAGATGTAAATCTTGATATTTATGAAACTCCTCCTTTCTCAACAAATGTGCCTACCTTCATTGAAGAAAATGATGAGGATCACGAAGAAGGGATATGGGAGAACTAGTAATGTTTTTTTATAAGTTAATTCGACATTACTTTGAATTCTAATTGATTTCTAAATATTTTTACTTTGTGTAAACAGATACATGGCTGATTCAACCGACAACCCTTCCTTCATACAGTAACCCTAATAAAAGAAGAGTTAGAGGTCCCACTATGATGGCACAAATTGACAAAGCTCATCAAATGGGTGAAAAGATAAAGGTCGATTTTGATCCAAGAACCTATGAGTGTACTGGTGTTAATAAAAATGCTTCAACTTTTAGGAGTTATGTAGCTTCTCTTGCTCGGAAGAGATGCAGTATTTTGATAGATGAGTGGAAAGACATACGTAAAGACATAAAAGATGCTATTTGGGTTGATGTTAAAGTATTTTAAATTCAACACTTTATTATATTTTATAATTATATATTAACAACATATTCCATACTAACACCAAATTCTTTATGTATATGTGTAGGCTCATTTGATTATTCCAGAATGTGATGATCCAAAGAAGGATTCGTTGAAGGATGAATGGATTAAATATGTGGGAGAGCGATGGAGAGGTTTTAAGACACAACTCACAAAAGAATATATTAGAAATCCCAAAGAATATAGTTTTAAAAGTATTAATCAAAATCAATCATGATTTTGTTTGAAATGAGGAGAAAGAGGACTCAGAGGTTGAAAAGAAAACAACTAGGAGAAACTGACTCCTAATGTTGTCACGTAAAGGATTGAAAGCCTAACGTCTCTTTGGGATTTCTTATATATTCTTTTGAACACGTAAAGGTCTTAGTTTCTGATTAGGCACATTTTTATAGCATGTGTCATATTGTATTATTCTTTTGAACACGTGTATATATTGATGTGATAGACACTTACGTGTATCAGTACCAAATTACACTATATGTAATATATTTTATAGATGTATATTATGTGTGGTAGTTATATTGGTACTAGAGCGGGTCGATTCTAGACCCAACCGTGGAGTATCATAAGTAAACAATTTATACCTCATATGTGTAATTGTCGTCGTTTTCCTTAATTTCATATATTATAGTAATAAGAATGGTCAACTTAATTCTATATGTATGAAATTTAAGAATATGATTCAAGTACTTGGCCCACAACCTAACCTTTTACAAAATATCCAAATATATAGAATTAGATTTTCATATCATTATAGAAAAATTGGGAAAAAAAACCTCATCAAACTCTTTTTTATCTCTTCCTTTGCACAAATTGCTAATGTGCTCACTAAAGTTTAGCCAAAACCAACTTTTCTACAACTTATTAGCAAATTTGACCTTGTCAACATCCACTTTTTAGCTTGAGGGGATTATTAAATCTTATGTTTACATTTGATCTATTTTTATTTTGTAAATTAGATAGTTATACAAGTAGTTAAAAAGTTAGGTAGTTATGCAAGTAGTTCAAAAATATATGGCAAAGTTGTGAAATTACCATAATTTCTAAAATCAAATGATTGAGCCACTTTCTATTGAATAGAAAAAGTTCATAACTTTTATATTATGTTATAAATTATCCATACTTTTAGTTCACTCAAGACTCCATTATTGTTCACTATAAAACTGGGTAAGAATAAATATTTTCTTCATTTCAAAAATGACTGTTTGTTTTAAAATATAAAATTTATTTTAAAATAATTGTCATTCTTACTTTTTAATGCAACAATGACTACAACTTTTTCAATTATATTCTTTAATTATTACTCTATACACTATTTTTAATATTTTAATAAAATTAATTTAATAAAAATATAATTTTTTATGACAACATTATTACATTTTCTAATTTGTGTGCAAAAACACTAAATGGCCGTCATTTTAAAACGGAGTGAGTAAAAAATTACAAATAAAACGTACATTATTCAATCAGGTGTTTTAATCTTAACCTTGACATTAGTCTCCTTAACTAACTAAATTCGAAACCCAAACTTTAACAAAAAATATATCTGGATCCCTCGACTCCCACTTTGCAGGTGTGGAGTTTCTCTCCCTAAAAAATTTGTGCTTGTCATTGAAGCAAAAATAAAACTCACGGTGAATCTGTAACAACAAGTTGACGCGGTTATGGAGGACACTCTTGAAGCGATTTGTTGAGAGAGTATTTTTTAATTGAAAGGATAGGAAGGAAAATGCTTATTTATTGTATTTCTCTGTTTTAAATTGACCGTCATTTAAAGTTTTTTCACATAAATTAAAAAATGTAATAATATTGTTACAAGATATTACACTATTAATAAATTAACGTTATTAAAATACTAGAAGTAGTGTAAAGAGTAATAAATAAATAACATAATTGAAAAAAAATGTAATCTATATTGAAGAGTGAAAATGACAATTATTTTAAAACAAATTTTATTTATTAAAACAACGGTTATTTTAAAAAAAGGAGAGTATTTATTCTTACTAGTTTTATGGGGAACAATAAATTTGAGATGACAATGCGGAAATTTGAAAAGGTGATTATTTGCATGGGAGAAGCTCTTTGTTGTAAAATGTTTCTTTGAAGAAAATTGATCGTGGCAGGTAGCTTTAGAAAGTGGGTCATACATTACATGTACTTTTAGAATGAATGTAGCAACAAAAATAAAGTATGAATACAACAATAATATACTTGATATGCGTAACTAAATCCTATTTTTCTTGAACAATAGTACTAAACCAAATATCAACCACGATAAAACTGTAGGAAAAACATGAGTAAACTAGTTTAACTATATGTTCTTGCATCTCAAAAACACTGATTCTCGAGTACAAGGAAATTGAAAGAAAAAAAAAACTATATAGCAAAATAAAGATTAAAAAAAAAGCTAGTTTAAGAATGATGGGTGTAATATATGTCATGAAGGAAACATAAAAGAAAATGCCGAAGGGTATGTAACAGGCAGCCAAAAAAACAATAATGTATATCAAACTTCATCGCGCATCAGCAGATGTAAAAGAATCAGCGAATCCAGGAGACCGAGGTGGTATACTCGACTGTGTATTATCACAACTAGGAATCATCGACGAAGAATACGAAACATCGAGTGTAGAGCTCCGCCCTTCCATGTTCTGCCACTTACTTAGAGCTTGAGGCAAACTCATATCCAAGTCGATTCCGTACATGTCCTCATCATCAGGTTCAGACGGCTTCCAAATCTCAACAAGAGGTGCAAGTGCATTCACCACGTGTCCCATGTCAGGACGCTGATGAGGCTCCCTTGCACAACAGTGGCTGGCCAACCCTGCAATAGTCCTGAAACTCTCCAAGCCTTCCTCATCGATATCCATTGCTGGATCAATGATCTTCTCGAACGAGTCTTTGTTCAGTTGCATCCTGCGGAACCATGTCACAAGGTGGATGTTCTCGTCTGGTTGGCTGTTGTCGATTGCTCTCCTTCCGGTAATCATCTCCATAAGAATCACGCCGTAGCTGTATACGTCAACCTTTGTGGTGACTCGTCCGGTGACTGTTTCATATCATTTTAATGAGTTAGGGAATTTAACAGGAATAGAGAAGAACTATCAATAAGCTAGAATGTTAATTGCTACACATAGATACAGGGCATGACATCAACAATGTGAATCATGTTTGCTATATTTTATGAGATGCGAGCACCAAATATTCTTTCTAATCAGCTAATAGTGTTGTCTATGGCGGATGGCAGAGATCCAAAATCCCGTCATACCGGCCGCTTTGTGGCGCCTGATATAGCAGATTATAGCGGAAAAATCCGCAATATCAGCTGATATTTACGCAGCAAGCCCAAAAACCTCCATGTATATTCACCATAGTGACCATGGCTTCGCAATTTGATAACACTGAAACTATATGACTAAATATTAATCGTCGAAGTAAATGGAACATTACAAGGCATGCAGATTGGCTATAGAAGAGCCTGTATGTTTAAGAACTAAAAAGAAAGTTATTTTAACATTTCTAAAAATGCTAATTATATATTTTTACGCAATGCATAAATTTATGTCTTTGTTTACAATCAAAAAGTTAACTTTTTAAAAATATTTTCTCTCATCTAACACACATTCAGATTGTTTTTCAGCAGCTACTCAAGATAGCCTTTTATTCTAATCAAATTTCAGTTATTTTTTCCTGTTTCTAACCATTTTCATAAGTTTAAACAAACACATTGAAAATCCTTAAAAGTGATTTTCTAACAAAATAATCTATTAAACAAACTGACACTAGTCAATTCTTATTCTAATAGTAAATTTAACAAAACAATTTATCATCTTTGCATTCTTTCTCAATACAGTTCTATCCAGACAAAATTTGATAAAAAGAGCATAAGTTTTGGCAGTGTTGCAAAAAAATTGTTTCTCCATAACTATATTCATTATCTCTAGTTCAACTGATACTAAAGTAGGAACCTAGATAACTAACATATGCAACATAAAACAGTTTTATTCAACAAAAATTTTCCAAATTATAACTAACATATGAATACCTGCATACTCTGGTGCTAGATATCCAAAAGTTCCGGCAAGTCTAGTCTCGAATGAAGCTTGTCCTTCAGGAGCAAGCCGAACTAGTCCAAAATCAGATACTTTAGCGCGCATGTCATCCCCAAGCAGGATATTTGACGGTTTCAAATCCCTATGGATGAAAATTTGTTGTGCCAAACCATGAAGATATTCAACACCTCTAGCAACATCTAAGGCAATAGAAAGCCTTCTCTTCCATTCTAGTGGTTTCACCCCATCGTCTTTCCAGTCAAACAGATGTTGACTAAGAGTGCCCTGAGGCATGTATTCATAGACAAGAAGTTTCTCATTGTCCTCCAAGCAATAGCCAAGAAGTGCAACCAAATGCCTGTGTCGAACCTTAGTAAGAACCGCAATTTCAGACTTGAACTCGTTCAGCCCTTTGTCACCAACCATATCAGATTGCATTCTTTTAACTGCAATCTTTGTTCCATCATCCAATTCTCCTTTGTATACAGTGCCGAAACCACCCTTCCCCAATATGTTTTTATCGCTGAAATTGTTTGTAACTTCTCTCAAAACTTGAATCGAAATCACCATATTACCAGCTTCCACATTTTGAACACTACTTGATTGACTAAATCCACTAGTTCCTCCTACACCGCCAGCATGAGATCCTCCAGCTGCTGCAACACTTATCTTCACAGCATTTCCATCTCCAGAATGACGAGGATGTACCACTATCGCATTTGGAGTTTGAACTTTGCCATAACGCTTTTTATACCTTCTACGGCATATAACAAATACCAAAACCCCGACCCCAAGTAAGCAAACAACCCCCATCACTACACCAACAACAGCTCCAACACTAAATTTCTTCTTATCATTACCTCCAGAACTAGGACTGGGCGGGCTAGAAGGTTTATCATGTCCAATATCAGGATTCCCAGCAGTATTAACAACCACATCTCCACGGAACATCGGTATCTGACCATACAACGTATTATTCGAAACGTCTATCTCTTTCAAAGCCGGCATACTAGCAAGCTCCATAGGTATAGTACCGGTGAGATTATTGTCAGAAAGAAGCAACTTCGTCACAGAACTAAGGCTTGCAAAACTAGGAGAAATACTACCAGAAAAACCCAGCTTACGAAAGTCGATAGTTGAAATATTACTACCGGAACAAATAACCCCTTTCCAAGTATTATCACCACAAGGGTCATTTCCTTTCCAACTCTCGGCAAGTATATAAGGATATCCAAGAGGCTCAACAACAGAAAGCAAAGCATTAACAACTGGACTACATGGTTGACCATCAACCTTAGTACAAAAACTATTACTCCCACTCAAATCATTATCAACCACAACACCATCTTGAAACTTAGGAGGTGGCCCTTGAAGTTGATTGTTTGTCAAGTTCACAACATGCAAACTAAGAAGAGAAGTCAAAGACGGTGGAACAACACCGGTTAATCTATTATCCCTAAAACAAGCATTTTCCAATTGAGTAAGATTTGATAAATCCGGTATAGGACCAGTAAAAGAATTAACATTAACCCAAAGAACTTTCAAAGATGTCATCTTTTGTATAACAGAAAGAGTACCGTTGAGTTTATTTATACTGTTTTGACCATTCAACCAAAGGGTCTCAATAGAAGTATCAGCTAAACTATTAGGCAAATTACCCTCAAGATGATTGTAAGACAATTGCAAACTAACCAAACTTGGAAAATTCTCTTTCCCGAAGATTTCAGGGATTTCACCAACAAAACTAGCATTATTAGCAGAAAAAGTCTTGAGGGCTAAACAGTTCTTAAGACTAGAAGGAATTTTCCACTGAGTAAAATTGTTATAACCCATACTCACCAGTAACAAATTACTCATGTTATCGAAGAAATCACTCGGCATGGACGTGAAATCGTTTTTGTCAATATACAAATTCTGAAGAGAATTCGGCATGTTAGGAAAATCTCCATGTAACTTGTTATCATTGCAATAAAAATCTGTTAACGCAGTGAGTTGCACCAATTCTTTCGGTAGAAAACCTGTGAGACTACGCGATTGGAGTTGAATTTTGGTCACCCTTGAATCAGAACATGTAACACTCTCCCATTTGCAATAATCTGAACCGGGCCAATCAACACCGTGTACTGAAGCTTTCAGCTTTTGCATCACGTCACCATCTTGAGACCAAGCAGAGACGAAGATCGTAGAAAACAGCAAAACGAGATGAAGAACGTAGGAAACTCCGAAACCCATTTAGGGTTTTGTTGAATTAATGGAAATGGGTTTTGTTTTGAAAGGTTTGTTACAATGAAAAAATAAAACAGAGAAAGTAGCGTAAGAAAACAGAGAATAATCTTTTTTTTTTTTTACAAGAATGAGAAATAATCGCTTATTCACGCGGCATTGTGAAGATTCTACGGAAAAGGGATTTTTGTGTGGAGAATAATTGGAAAAAGGAAGAAAATAAAACGCTTTTATGATATGAATTGGAATTTGATACGGCGGAGAATGAGGAAGAAAGAATAGTAGAGTGAGAAAGTGAAGAGAGTGGTGTTGTTTGGTGTTAGAGAAGAGTGAAAAAGATCGCTTTTGATATAAAATTTATGGGCGTGGGGTCCACTTTCATGCTTTTTGTGGGACTGGGAGGAATGGCCTAATAGGTAAGACTAATTTTTTTCTTATAAACTTAATTCATCCTATATAAATGTTATTTTAGAGTATTTTCTTACTTTTATTAGGAAAAAATGACTATTTAATTAATGTGTTTATTTTAGGTATAGTTGCTTTAAATGATTTTTTTTATTATACTTAGAAAAATTATATCCGAATTTAAATAATTGCATTTAATAATAAAATTATAAATGTAATCAATAAATATAATATTTCAATCAATTTTTTTTTAAAATTTGCCCTCTTTTTTTAACCTTAACTGACTTATGTTTCATTTCATTTGCATCATTAATCATATCATGGCATTGGTGCTTGAGATATGGGGATCAAATTGTTTATGTAGCTCAGGACTTTCTTCTTTTTCAAGTTTTTAAGCAACAAGCATCAGAGGCTCCGACATTTATTTTGCTCGATGATTTGGTTTCGGGCCGTATTCTTTCAGCATAATATTTCAAGTGCAAGAGGGTTTTCACAACTTATTTAAGGAATTATCCAGGTGCAATATCAGAGGACAAGTTTCAGAGGTAAAACTATGCTCAGAACAAGTGGCAACGGTCAATTCTCCAAATTTTCCTCCAAAAAGGCGCAAATATTTAAATTTTAGGTGTGTTAATCGATTAACCATTTGCAAATGGTTAATCGATTAACCATTTGCAAATGGTTAATCGATTAACCAGTGTATATTTTCCTTAGAAATTTCAAATTTCAATGCTGCAACATTTGTTATCTCATTTCAATCACTTGAATCCATTTTTGCACCAGGTGGAATGATCTAGAATTGATTTCAAAATTTGGTTCATTTTCAAAATTAATTTCACTTTCCTCCAAAAATTCAAATAATTTCATTCCTAATCTCAAACTAAAATTCTAACTCACGCTCTAGACCTTATTTACACTACTAACCTAGAGCTTATTTAAGCTAATTTGCTCCAAACCTCACACAACTTCACTCATTTTTCTGATTTTTCTACTCTTCACATCTCAATTCTCTCAGTTTCTCATTCTCCATTTTTATCTTCAACCTTCACTAAAGCTCCATAACTAAAAAGCTTCACAAATTGTACATTTCAATTTGTGAATTCTTGAGTTAAACCTCCATTACAGCATCATCCATTGTTCAATTCTGAATTTGAAGCTTATTTGGATCTTGATCAAGTTTTAAAATCATTCTTGAAGAGCTTTTGGATTATCTTTGGATACCTGCTTTAATCTTCAACTTTTCTTGCTAGAAGTTCATTGGATCTTAAATTTTTTGTGCTTGATCTGTCAAATTCCATTTGCAACACTTACCAAAGCAATTCTTCGCTTTATAGGTTGGTAATTCTTAGATCCAAACTTGTTCTAGCTTATTCACAACTTTCACAATGTATATCCATTGATTTTTCATATGAATTAATCCATTGTTTGATTTAATTGTTGATCTTGTTGTTTGATTGATGCAATTGATGTTTGATTGTTGCTATTTGATGTAATTTTCATGCACAATTGCATGCTATTACATGTTGCATATGAACCTTGAATTAATGATGAAAAAGTGCTTCTGAAAATTGATTTTTTGCTTTTACAGCAGGTGTAATCGATTAACATATATGTGTTAATCGATTACACCCTTTCATGACGCTATTTTTAGCTTCTGGACAACTGTTAATCAATTAACAGCTATGTGTTAACCTGTTACACCTTTTTACAACGCTATTTTTAGCTTCTGGACAGCTGTTAATCGATTAACAGATAAATGTTAATCAATTACACCTGCTGTAAAATGTGTTTTTTTGCTTGTTTTTTAGTTTATTTTGATTCCTTTTCACATGTAACTTCCATGACTTGATATATTTGATATTTGTGGAATTTTATTGAGTTGTTTAACCTTCGTTTGTAGTACGTGTGCAAATTTTTTATGCATGTTTTGTTGATTATGTAATTGTTTGTATTCTTGAAGCACGTTTATGATGCACACTTGTTTACATGTTGATTCTTGCTTGTTGATGTTACATATTCATGATCACTAATGTAGATACATGTTCATGCGCATTATCAATTATTGAAATCCATGGTGTATGTTCACTTGATTATTATTGGTACATGTTCATCATAGTTGATTATTCCTTTGTCACATGTTCATACACTTTACTTGATCTTGTGCAACACATGTTCATGATTGCTTGAATTCTTGATGTGTGCTTATAATACTTGGACAACCTTATAGAATACATGATGTATGTTCGTGTTAGTGCAGCTGATGCATACACTGATGTCCTGTTCATGTGTTGTTAGTTACTGCCGTACATGTTGTTAAATGTTATTGTGTTGTTGCTGTAAATGCACTGCTGTCTTATTTTAAACGTTGTTGTATGTTGTTGTTTGTGCCTTATTTTAACTTGTTTTGGTTTGCCTTTGCATGTTCCCTTAAGGCCTCATAGTCCAACTTAATTTTTTATTAAGCTTGGAGTAGGATAGACATTATGAGTTGATCCATGCATGATAACATTAGGTTAGTCCTTTTCAACCTCAACTTTAGGTCCACCTTTGTATGCTAACATTAGGATAGAGATCCCTTTCGCATCCCAATTTTAGGACCACCTTGCATGATAGCATGTAGGACCGGGTTCCCTTTAGACCTTCTGTGCGTCTTTCTTTTCTCTTTCTAAAAAAAAAATTCAAAAACATGTAATAAATATGATGTGCATTGTGCGCCACGAGCCCTATGCTCATGGGAAAAGATGAGCGGATGAATTTCTAACCTCATCTTAGGATAATTTGTGCGTTAGACGCTTGGATTGTTAGCGCAAAGTATTCGATCCTATGTTATAGACTTTAGTGCAGTAGGCATCCTAAACAAAGTCAATTCACTTCTGTTAAAACTCTTCAAACAAATCCAAATCATTTTATCCTTCGGGATTGTTTGTCAAACCTTTTTCAGAAAGGGCATATTATTTTTGTTCTACCTCAAACAGACGTCGACCCTAACTACTAGAACGCAAACTTAGCATCGCTCATATAAAAAAAAACTTAACCAATCTGTGATCGTACCCACGAACTACGGACACTCTAATTTTTCATACTAGATGAGGATACGCAGGCACAAGAAGGCGAGGTCTTGGTTAGCAACCTTCCCCTTCACCCGTAGTCCTTCGAACTACATTGACTCTGACTTTCCTGTTGCACGAGGGAATACGCAGGCCTAAGACGGCGAAGTCCTATCGAGTCTCCTTTTTTTTCCTTTTCGTTTCTGTTAGCATATAGACTTTAGATATACACACCCTTTGATTAGAACAACAAGAATGGATCTCATTGAGCACAACGGATACAAGGGGGTGTTAATACCTCCCTCTTGTATAATCGACTCCTGAACCTAGGATTTGGTTGTGAGACCATGTCTTCTCTTTTTTTGAGGTTTTCTTTTATCGTTTCCTTTCGCCCGTCAGGATAAATAACTTTCAGTGGCGACTCTTTTGTTTTTTCTTCCGGTTGTTTTTTCACAGTTGCGACACATCGTAATGATGGTGATCTTTCAATTGATCCCTTATTGTATTGGAAACTTATGGATATTCTTTATTACATGACTATTATTCACCTGGCATATTTTTAATGTTTAACAAATTAGTCAACTCATGCATTCTCATTGTCATCTTCACCTGACAGCAATTTGACGTATAATTCATGCATCGCATCACCATCTTGAGACAAAGTATAAGTGAAGATTGTAGAAAACAACAAAACTAGATGAAGAAAATAGGAAAGTCCAAAATCCATTTCAAATTTTTTTGAATTGAAGATAATGGGTTCTGAATGAAAAATAGAGAAAGGTGACGTAAGATGACAGAGAATAATTTTTTTACAAGAATTGCTTAATCACGCGGTATTGGTAAAGATTATACGGAAAAGGGATTTCTTGTGGAGAATAATTGGGAAAAAAGGAAGAAAATATAATGCTTTAATGATATGAATTAGAATTTTATACGGCGGAGAATGAGGAAGAAAGAACGTAGAGTGAGAAAGTGAAGAGAGTGGCGTTGTTTGGTGTTTAAGAATGAAAATCGATTTTGGATATAAAATTTATGGGTGTGGGGTCCACCTTCACGCTTTTTATGTTTCATGCTAACTGTGTAAAATAACACGCAGAAAATTATAATTTGTCACAAATAATTTTATACAATATTAAATAATTTTTTTAATAATAAAATTATACAAATTATCAAAGGACATAATATTTCAACAAACTTCTTATATTTGTCACCAATATATATATATATATATATATATATATATATATATATATGTGTGTGTGTGTGTGTGTGTGTGTGTGTGTGTGTGTGTGTGTGTGTGTGTGTGTGTGTGTGTGTGTGTGTGTGTGTGTTAATCTCTTGAAATTACTAGCATACTTTAGAAAAAGATGTGTGTGTGTGTGTGTGTGTGTGTGTGTGTGTTAATCTCTTGAAATTACTAGCATAATTTAGAAAAAGATATTTTACAATCCAAGGTTCTTGGAACATTGTTGACCTTAACTCTATTCATCTTCTCAACCGAATGTGTCTGCCATGTTGACCTTCATTTATCCATTCTTCCGCTTCTCAAAAACTAAT